CCTTTCAAATCGAGGTCCCTGTTATAAAAGGACAAAAGAGATGCCAAATATCTAATATAATTTACAGAGAACATTCACCAGGTCTTAAAGAAGGCAAAGACAAGACAAAGACACATCACCCAGATGAAGAAGGTCATCAGCAGAAAATCATAATGGTATGCAGGGTTTACAGAGACTCAACAGTTTGAGCAGGATGTGGGAGGGCAAAAGAAACTGTCACAAAAGCCTGATTGGCAGTATATTGATACATGACAGCTGCAGGCAGGACTATAGAATCGGGGATGGAACCAGGATTGGGACACAGACATTATGCTAGACAGGAGAGCTTACAAGAAGGGTCCAGGGGCCTCAGACCAGAATGTGACTCATGACTATGCAACTCTAGTATCACACAGTGATGACACAAACAGGCGATTTCTTAGGGGCTAGACTGCCCTTCCGTGGACTGGCTAAGGGAGTGGTAATAATGTACTCTCTTACATACTCCACCTGAGGGGAAGCTGCTGTCAGCGCCAGTCAATGATCAGACAGAATTCAATAAAGCCTTCATCCACATGGGGAATGTGGGCTTTCACTGTTATCCATGTCCTTCTTCAAACTTAGTGCTCAGAATTTAAACTCAAATACATGGTAGAAACACTATAATTAATTGAAAGGTAGATGAATAAATTAATCTTACCTGCTACCATTCTATGTTGTCCAAGCTCTCATAATTAGTCAGGAAATGCCCTAACTTATCCTGTTTTTTTTTAACTCTAGTTCTCCTACAGTTTATGAGGGGGTACCCTGCCAAAACAGATTTTTCCCCGAAAAACTATGTATTTAAATATTTTTACAAAACAACTTTACCATCTTCAAAGTACTCTCCTTTATATTTAATACATTTGTTAAATCAGCTATTCCATTCTTGGAAATATTTTTCAAACTCATCTATTAGAATGGCTGAAAGCACCTCCCTCGTTTTTTTTCTTCACCTCTTCTACATTGTCAAATCACTGTCCTTTCATGTCCCTCTTCATTTGAGGAAGCAAAAAGAAGTCGCAGGGAGTGAGATCAAGTTAGTAAGGTGCATGGGGCAAGAGAGGCATATTGTTTTTTGCCAAAAACTGGCACACTGAGATGGCTGTGTGAGCAGGCCATTGCTGTGATGGCAAAACCAGTCCCCCATCTGCCACAAATCAGGTCTTTTTTGTCACACACTGTTATATGCATTCTTTTCAGAACCTCTAAATAGAAAGCTTGATTACCAGTTTGACCTGGTGGAAGGAACTCCAAAGGCACTAATCCCTTCACATTAAAAAACAAATGAGCATCATTTTGATCTTTGATTTCACTTGACAAGCTTTTTTTGGGGGTGAGGTGATGATGTCATCTTCCACTGGCTTGATTGATGCTTGCTTTCAGTGTCATAAGAATAGTATCATGTCTCATCACCATTAATGACCTTGGGGGGGAAAATCTGGGTCACTTTGGAGCTGTTCTTTCAAACCACAGCATGTTTCCACTCAACGCTTTTTCCTGGTCAGTCAAAACCAGAGGCACAAATTTTGCAGCAACCCTTCTCATTCCCAAATCTTTCATTAAAATTCGCTGAATCAGACACCCTGGGAGACATAGCAGCTGATAAGACACATGGACCCACCCTGATGCAGCCCTGGGTGCTGGAGAAGCCATGTGCTGAGATGTTTCTAATGCCACTGGACCCAAAGACCCACTGGCCTGTGATCTTCTACATTCGGGGTCACTGCATGTGTTTCATGAGTCTGAAGAGGACTTTTTAGATTGGTATTGGACATATGGTCTAATTATTGGACTTATGGACTTGATCTGGTCTGGGCTGGGATGTTTTCTCAATGTTCGATTGCTCCTATATATAAATCTCTTTCTTACACACACACACACACACACACACACACACACACACACTTCGCTGAATCGAGGAGCTCCAAGATAGTCTACATAACTTCCTTATCTCTTCAATGGTCCGTCATCAGTCTGTGAGCACAATTACACAAATTTTGCCGACATTTTCATCCATTCAGGATGTTGGCAGACATCTAGAATGAGGTTTGTCATCAATCAACATTTCACCTTTTTTGAAATGAGAAAACCACTTGTACACTTGAGTTTTTCACATAGTACTATCCTTGTAGGCTGTGTTCAGCATCACAACAATTTCTGTGGCATTTTTCCTGAGCAGAAAATAAAATTTCATAACTGCATGCTGTTCTCTTAAATCGGCCATCACAAAAAAAGAGGTTTGAGTGAAACTGCTTTTATGAAAAAATTCACTGTGACCAGAGACAACCTTCCCAGGTGATGCTACTAGGCGCACTCAGAGCATGGTGCTTGATGCTGGCCTAGTGATGCTCCCTCGGCTAGTTAGGGGGTGGAAGTGGGGCGGGGTGAGTGTGTGAATGCATACCACCAAAGCTCCACCCAGTGGACCTTTTTTTCTGCTTTTTAGGTTCCCCCCTTGTATTCACCACATTGCAGGGACTAAACCCAAAACCAAACTCAATGCCATTGAGTTGATTCCAATACATGTAACTCCTTCCTGGAGTAGAAAGCCTCATCTTTTCCCCAAGGAGTAGTTGGTATTTTCAAACTTGTTTACCTGTGGTTAGCAGATCAACACATAACAACTACATCACCACGGCTTTGGTATTACAAGGACAGTCAACTTTTAAAAAGTTTAAATTAACACAGACCACTGCTTAGCTTAAAATCTGTTAATTATTTCCCATTACATTACGAACAAAATCCACATGCTCTGGAAGTTGCCCACCTCTTTGACATCTTCTTTTAGTTTCTGTTACATCCTAAGGATTCTCCAGGCTTATTTGGTTTTAGAATGTTAGTACAAGACATTTCCTCTGCCAAGAAGCCTCTTTGGCTAGCTGGTTCAGGTTTCATCTTAAAAATTACATCCTCAGAGAAGCTTTCCTTCACATACTTCAAAGTGGGCTACATCCACATTGGTTATTTAGAGCTGTTAAACAAAAATTATATTACGTAAGTAATAGACATTGATTGAAGCTTACTAATAGATGATTTTCAAATCAGGATAACATTTTGACTAAAAACAACCAAACCTATTGCTGTTGAATCTATTATGACTCATGGAATCCCTACAAAACAGAGTAATATCATACTACAAGGTTTCCTAGGCAGAAATTTTTACAGGAAGCTGACAAATTTTTTCCCCATACAGCAGTTAGTTGGTAAGTTTGAGCCACAACCTTTTAGTTAATAGCTGAACACATTAACCATTGAGCCATTAGGGAGGGAAAAAAATGTTCCAAAGATGAAAAAACGTCCAAACATTCTTTTTTTTTCTTCCTCCAAACATTCTTTTTTTTTTTTTAACATTTT